TTCCAACCCTGCTTTGCATGACACCAAAGACCACCATACACTTCCCCCCCCAGTTCCCCAGCCCCTCCCCCGCCCCCAATCACTCCGTGCACCTCCACGTGAGGAGCAGCTCCGTGCGCTGGAGCGGCTGCAGCGCCTGGAGCAGCGCTTCGCCGGCTCCGGCGTCACCGAGAGCGAAGCCCGGAACGCGCTGCGGCTCTTCGAGCGCGAGCTCTCGAAGGCCGGACGAGCACATTGCTCTTAGCCGTTTCGAACGGAAACGGGAGACCGCGGAGGGTGGTGGAGTGGGGTGGAGTGGGGTGGAGTGGAGCAGGTTGGAAGATGTTGGAAGGAATGTGATGGAGGTGCCTGAGTGAAGAAATTTTGCTCATCCTTGGACGGTCAAACAGCATGGCAGCAAGAGTTTTCGCTCACCAAGCCAACTGTTTGGACCAGAGAGTGACAGCCCTTTTCAATCCTTTTCATGGCATTTTGCAGGGTTCGGAGGTGAGTGTCTTGAGCATCCAGCGACCAGGGTCTTGGAAAGTGAGCATTCCAGTCAGCGAGGCCAACTGGAGCGAAGAGAAGTTTGCGCGCCTGGGCATCAATGCGCGGGTGGACAGTCGTTGATGAATGTGTTGTTGTCCGCTGACGCCAGGTCCCATAGGCTAGCGACCAGCTTCGTGATGGATACGATGCGATAAGCAAAAGGCATCATCATTGTGACTTTGAAAGCAGTGAACAGTACCTGTTGTGGAGAGTTGTCACCGACGTATGCTTTGGTCAATATCTTCAATACCATCCGCAAAGCAAATCTCCAGCAACCAATCAACGTCAACAATAACAATAAACTCCTAAAAGCATTTGTTCTCAGACGACCTTTCTGTTTTTCAGGTCTTGTAGTGTGGATCGTGGTGAGAGGCTTCAATGAACAGGTTGCCCTGACAAGTGTTCGTGCAACGAACATGAAACGACGTATATATATATATATATAAAAATAACAATATAATAATAATAATAATAATAATAATAATAATAATAATAATAATAATATATATATATATGTATGTAGATCATTTTTCATACATGTTACATGTTCATAATGTTCTACATGTTCTACGGGTTTACATTCTCCTTTCCGCCCACGCAGACATGACGCTCGTGAGCTCAGAAAGCTGAAGCGGCAGCTCGCGGGCGCGGAAGAGTGGTCAGCGGCGGATCTGGTGGCCGAGTGCTGTGTGAGATGGACGGAAGGCATACATCGGGACCACGGTGGAGGGGACGGTTATTGTTGGCACGGAAGTTTTTAGGAACATCTAAGCCTAAGCAAGTATCTAAAGAGAAGGCAAGTCAGAAACCCTAAGCCTAAGTGGTTGGAGAGCGGGAAACATCAGACTTGCTAAACTCGGAGGGTCCTTCGAGTTGGAGCTTCGGTTTCGACAGAGACTGTGGTTGTATGTGGTATTTGGTGGAGACTGTGTCTCCTTTTTTGGGAGACGGCGATTTCGGCTTCGTTGGCAGCCCCGTCCTTTTGCTCCTTGATCCGGTCCTGTGTTCAGCTGAACAACAACGCAACGAGATCATTGGCTCAGTTTTGTATCCCCAAAAATCTGAAGATGAAGCTTCTTAACCCATGGCCCATTGCACCAAGAGTAAGACTTCACTCCCTTGAAAGAGGTAGTTAAGCGATGTTATGCGATGTTAGCAATCTGATCAAGCGATTAGGAATAGGGTTGTTGCATTGTTTGAAGACGTATATCAACATCAGAAACCGTATTTGTCAAAAAACATGGGTTTTATCAGAACAATATTGATCGGCTCATAGGGCGGATTATAGATGTGGCCGGTGTGGATTGATGGTCCTTATTCCGGTTCTCTTCGGGGGGTAGATGGCTTGACATGACGGGATAGCGAGGACGATATGGCCAACCACCAATAAAACCAAAAGAAGGGCAAAATCTGAGCTGGATCATGCTTATGGCGCCGTTGATCTTCGGGTTAGAACCTTGATGATCAGTGGTACTTACTGTACCATAACCTTCAAGTCATACATTTGGTGACCCCAAATAGTTTCGAACGGCGACTCTAAGGTCTACACATATTGAACTATACAATCATAAGACCTATCAATTTGGGGGACCTGGACAGGCGTTAAAACACCTCACCACTGGTGGACATCACCTGATGGGAACCCCCCTCCGCCTGGTTCTCTGCCAGGCAAACGCCGTCAGGCCTGGTTCTCCAGCGCCTGCGCACGCCTGGCAGCTCCTTTGGGCATCGAGTCGGGCTACACGGAGAACGGAGGCGGCACCGGTGGCGGTGTCAACAACGGGAGACCTGACTGGCAGAGCTGGTTGGAGAGGGGACCAAGCACTTGTAGGATTGGCTGTGCCAGGTCCATTGCAGCTATTACACATCACACCGAGGACTTTGGTAGATCTGCTGGCCGTCGCACCGCCGTCGTCGCTGTCGCCGGTCTACAGCTCAGACGTCGTCACCGAGGCGTCGCCCGTGAGTTTATCCGTCGCTGGGTGCCACCTAAGCCGGCCAAGCATGGGCCAGCATTTGGTAGACGAACTTCCTGGTTGGGAGCTACCAATTCTTCTACAGCTAGGAGCTGCTATGGGTTCATCCACTTGTCACAGTCTGGGTCCAGGTGAACTATATATATATAAATACAAAAGGAAGTACAACAGGTACCAAGCCAGAGCTGTATGGGCCCGTTTGAGAATAGCCAACCCCCGAACTGTTTGACGAGCATGTCTTTTTCATGATTTCTCCAATTATACCATTGTACTATAATATATTATATGTAATTAGTATATCGATGAATTATCGATCAATATATCATAGCTCCTGCTCATGAAAGTTAAAGTGCTTCTCGCGAGGCTGCTGCTTTGTGGGGCCGCTCTCGTCCTCGTTGGGCGCCGCGCTGACCGCGACCTTGGTGTCGCACCTGGGGCACCTGGGCGATCTGGGCTGTAGATGGGACCTTGATGGTGGGGTATAGAGTGGTGTAGAGTCAGTTACCTCACAAAAGGCAAAAGCAAACATCTGAGATCGGAGGACACCAGCTCCGCTTCACAGGACATGGATGAACGATGTAAGCAACATGCGGATTCTGTTGCGACATGCGCCGGTCGATGCGGGCCGCGTCTTCTCGTGCAAGATTCTCTCCGAAGGCACTTGGACCTTCGTCAGCACCAGAAGCAGCAGAAGAGGATCTCGGTGCCGCAATTCTTGCAGGGCTTCGTGGTCGGGGGCCCGGGGCTTTTGCGCAGTTCGGCTCGGTCCACCTTGGCAATACTGTCGTAGAAGGGCTGTTGTTAATTAGTTTGGACAGGACACAAAGGAAGACATATATATATATATAGATAGAAAAGGAGTAAGATATTTGCAGCCAAAGCCAGACAGATTCTTCCATTTCCATAGAAGGAAGAGATGCCAGTTGTTTGCTCATTGGGCTCGAGCAGCTTTTGACCGCCACGGATTGAGCCCATTTTTTGTCTCTTTGGATTGATGACTGTCTTGGGAAATGCAGGACATTGTCCCATCAACCTCAGAGTTGCAAAGTGGTTTGACAACAAGTTTGAGCAAATTTCCCTTGTTCTTCTTGTTCAAAGATGTAGTGGTCCTGCAAGTGTCGTCCTGGCATGGGCTTCATTGTCAATCCATCTAACATCAATTGTGGTCGTTCTTCTTTCCTTTGAGGACACTAGATGAAATCGTGGTGTAAGAAACCACTTCAGTTACAGATTCATTTAGATCATCATCATCATCATCGTCATCATCGTCATCATCATCATCATCATCATTCCATCGCATTTCAATCAGTATACGACTACCTCGTGGACCGAAACCTGGGTCCGACCGGGGTCGAACTTCGCTTTTTGCCCCATGGCGCCATGACGAGCTTGACCGCCCCATGGACACCCGGTGGGGGGTCCTGGAGAACGATGCGGGCGAAGAAAATGGATGACATCGTGAGAGAAACTAGTAGTAAGGCCAGGAGCCCCTAGTAGCGCCCTTGCTCCGTTCGTAGCGATGCCCTTTGTCCCCTAGTAGCGTCCTTGCTCCGTTCGTAGCGATGCCCTTTGTTACTAGTAGCGATGCCCTTTCTCCTGGTAGTAAGGCCAGGAGCGCCCCTAGTAGCGTCCTTGCTCCGTTCGTAGCGATGCCCTTTGTTACTAGTAGC